CCATCTCCCAGAATAGCAGCAAAGGCCCCCCCTCTGCCACAGACGTGGACGCTTCGAACCAGCAAGGTTAGTGGTTGCAATTTCGGCTTCAAATTCGGCTCCGCAGGCTGCAGCCTGGCCCGCTTTAGCGGGGCTCCTCCATCAAGAGCGTTCCCACTGGAGTCCAAGACTAAGAGTCGCCCTCTCCCAGATCCCAGCGCTTCTTGCGCGCGCACCCGCAGGGATTCCACGGTTTCGTCGCTGTGCGCCTGCAGCGACACAGTCTTGCCACTTATGAGGCTTACCTCAAGAGTCAAGGACATGATGATCAATCCATGGCCAACATACCAGATGCCGGGACTGAGTTTCCTCGAACGGCACAATCACAAGCAAGCCCTTTGTGAAGTCTCTCTCTCTCTCTCTCTCTCTCTCTCTTTCGTCAGGGTTATGGGCTAGGGGAACTCCCCTAACCTTGCTTGCTCTCTCGCTCTTTCCTCTCTGGCTCTGCCCTCTCCATCTTCTTCTCCAGGGCATTAGGGAGCCAGGCACCCCTAAACTGCGGGGGCCTTTGTGGGGATGTGAAAGTGGATCGAACACAACCAAGTGAAGAAAACTCAAGGTACGTTACACTGGAAGCAACAACCAGTGCTTCGATCTTTTGTGGGCAAAATCCTCAACACAAACCGTAGACCACCTTAGCACTTAGACGCCCCTTCGAGACCGGGCTTCGCTTCTGGCCTCTGGGTCTGAGACCTCCATCTCTGGCCTCGGATTTCCACCCTCCAGGCGGCGAAGCCGTGCATCCACCTCTGCAAGCTCAAGGAGCAAGAACGGTACCTCTAGCAACTACCTTGACGCCTGGCTGAATTCGTTATAAGACTAGGGATATCCCCCTTTCTGACCGCCGCCTGCATCCTTGAGACGGGCCCCCGGCCGCACGCGGTGACCACCGCCTTCCAGATCCGCTTGGTGCTGCGAAAGCGATCCGCGTGGTGCTCTGCGAAGGCCCTTTGAAAGGCTTCCTCGGCCTCGGGAGGCCAAGGCTCCTCGAGGTCGAGCTCCGGAGGAGCTTGCTCCGCAGCGGCAGACGGCTCTGCCACTTTGGAGCGTGGCTTTCTGCCGCTGGCGGCTTCGTTGCAGAGGTGCCGGGAGTCAGCGGCCAGGCACCGGACCTTCCCGAAGCCGTGGGCCGCGCAGAGCGCCTCCACGCGCCGCACCTTGGCCCGGGAGCGGTCGATGGCCGTGAGGCCCTGGCCCTGGCCTTGGAGAGTCGCTGCCAAATGCGTCGTCTTCCCTCCCGGTGCTGCACACATGTCCAGCACTCTGTTTCCAGGACATGGGTCCAGCACACGGACACAGAGACAGCTCGGAAGCTGTTGCAGCAGGACCTTGCCATCCAGCTGCGGATCCGACAGGACCGCGTTCATGGGAGCCAAAGCATGTGCGACTCCCCGCCGCCACAAGACACTGACAGCGGTGCCCTTGGTCCCCGGAGTGAAGATGGAGAGGCGAGACATCATCAAACGCCCCCCGGCCACCAGCACTGCCGGCCATTTCTCAGGGGACTCCTGAAGGGCCCACGGAGGCAAACCCAAGCATTCCTAGGCTTGATGGGCTAAGCATTTGCTGACGGCCATTCTTGAGACCAGCTTGAAGCGGCAACAAGATGACCGAATATGCATTGCAAGAACCCCTAGAATTATGACCGCTCCTGCAAGATGGCCCCACGGTTCGGCGGCTTCACGCCCTCTGGCACCACCCAAAGCCGGACCAGATGACCCTCCAGTGGCTTGGGCGTTGCTGCCATGACCCCCATGCCTTCCAAAGCGGTGGAACAAAGAGGGTTGAGGGTTTAGAGTCGGCAGGAAAACCAAAATCCAAAAACTGTACCAGCCACTCGGGTCGAGGCGCAGAAAACGTCGGCACCTCTCAAAACGGCCATGGCGCAAGCAGCGTCAATAATGACATCGGCGGAGACCGACGCGGAGAGGGAATCTGCCAGAGGACGTGTCTCATCTTCAGATTTCAGATACCCTCCAGTTGCAGAGACGGCGCTGCGGCCAATAATGGTCCTCGTCTGGTTGTGGGCACAGACGGGAGAAAATGGAGGCTATCGCGCCGTGACTGGCGTTTTCCGACAAAAGCTTTTGCAAACACGGCCCAGGGTCCGCGCCTCTGGACAGAGGATTGGGGCAGGCACGTCCTCCAAGGCAAAGTCGCAACCTGCTTGGCGGCCCACAGCTGCCAGGCACTGGCGAAGATGGGCCTGCAATCCCAAAGAGCTCCAAGAGGTCCCGGTTTTGGTCCTTGGCCTTTGGCCTATGATCCCACTTGATCCCACTTGTGAGGATTGTGCTTAACCTGGAGCTCCCAGTGCAACCGTAGCTGGAGGCCTCCACCTCTCCGGCTGAGAGCGGAAGTCGGATTGAAACGCTGGAAGGCGGCGAGGCTAAAGCTTTTAGCAGCTCCAGCACTCCTCGGCTGCTTGGCTTAGTGAAAAAGCGCGTGTAGGTCCTAACAGCCCTGGGGGTATCTTACTCAAGCGCTTCAGCTTTCATCCGTTCCAAAGGGCTCCGGTCTCAGTCTCAAAGTTCATTCACACTGACATCAAGGTCTTGGCCTCTAGTTGGATTGTTTTGCTGATGGAAGGGTTTCTGCACGCGAGCTGAGGCTTGCTCCATCTTCGACCTGTGATGTACAAGGGCGGCATCCAAACCCATCACCATTTTTTGGTCACCAATATAGTACGGCACCCTTATAAAAAGGACCCCGAAAGGAACCTAATTTAGAAAACGACCCCCTTTAGAGAGTCTCTCAATTCCAGACCCAGCCGCCGTCGCTGCCAGCCCCCAGGCGAGCTCCCAGGATGTCCTTCGCCGACCCCCAAAAAAACTTTTGCCTTCCGGGGACCTCTTGCCCCTCCGGTTGGATTTTGGCTTCCAAGCCCCCCACGACCAAAGATTCCGGACACCTTTCCCTGATTTGCCCGAGCAAAAAACACTGCCCCTCCGTTCCCCGCCCGGGCCCCCGCAACGTTCCGCCCAGCTCCTCCTTCAATGAAAGCCCTGAAGCCCTTGACCCCCAACTCCCCAAACTCCCAAGGACGTCCTGGACCTCCTTGGGCACGGCAGCTTGGGCGAGGCGCAGAAGCCCTTCAAACAAAAACTAGGCTTGGGCTGTAAACAAGACTCTCTGGACTCCCAGCAACTCGGCGTGGGTTGAAGTCGAGTTTAGGGTTCTTTGCTTTCTCTTCCTTTACGCCGATGGTTGAAGGTGTCACTGTAAACCCTTCTTGAGTGACTGCAAGGTGATTACGGTGAAGAAAAGGCTTCGGGCTTAGTTGGTAGGAACCACCAACTACTACCCCAAGAAGGTTAAATGCCCCCGCTGCTGCCTCCACCACCATCACTACCATCCCGCCATGGCGGAGGCACATCGGAAGCCATGCTCCCGGAGGGGTGTGATAGTGATGGCAGGGCTTGAGATGGATTCTAAACTCGGCTGGGAAGTCTCCCGCAAGGGCGGATCAAAGCTTTCAGGGTCTCCACTTTGACGGTGAAACAGAAACATGCAGAAACTGACTCTAGGGCGGTCAACTCAATCAAACTTCTTGTCATGACATGTCTCTGTACGGTGGCAGTGGCAACCTAACTACCTCTCTAAGCCCGACGAGCTGAAAGCCCGATAAGAAAAGGCAGCAGGAAGAGACAAGGACACGCCACAAGGCGGCTGACTCAAGGGTTTAGGGCCGTCGGAAGATGTTCGCAGGAGTCGCCCTCTGAGGATCCGAAAAGCTCATGCCTGGGATGCTTCAACTTAGCTTCGGAGACTAGTTCTAGGAGGCTGCAGGAACCCCTCAATGCCACTTGAGCCTTCAGCCATCGGAATCCGTCAAACCTCCGACTACACCACGAAGCGACCTGGTCATCCGCACCCTCCCTCTTCCAACCGTCTTCGAGGATGTCGTCCACCTCCTGGCTTCGCGCAAGATGTCTGTGGCGGCCGTTCTGGGGAGAGTTCAGCCGTGGGTTGCTCACCAGCTGCAGGACACATGCATGGGGCAACGACTCTCTGCTCTTTGCATTTCAGAAGCTCGAACCTGTCGAACGAAGCTTTAATTCTTGGTCGTGGCGATACGTCGATTCTCTACGAGAAAACCCCGATGCACACCCACGCGGAATCCCAGGCCCGCAACTCTTGAGAACATCGGGCCCTGCCATGACGCTGACTGTGCAATTGGACATGTGCTTTCCGGCCGTGAGCCTTCGATAGAAGCCAGAAGCGATCCGTCTTGTCCTTGTGCAAGCCGCAGACTTCCCGATAGCTCTGGGGCCTCAGCTCACAGAAAGAAGGAAAGCTCCTACGCGCAACGGTCGAAACTCTCCTCAGACAACCCGAATGCAAATCAGCTACCATTGTGGTATGCTTCAATCTTTCCACACTGTCTCGGCATTCCACTCTCAGACTTCCAGAGCCCACTACAAACCCTATAATCAAAAAACCCTTAAAGGCATCCATCCGCCGGTATCTTTCATGACTCTTCGCAGTTTGTCGCAAAGATGCATCCCATCTTTCGCAAGGCATGGTGGGTCCGCGCAGAACCTCAGAGGAGAAGAACGGGGATTCTGCGAGGAGGGATGCTGAGATCCCTTCGTTTCGACGGAGGTAAAGTAAGGCATCTGAAAGAAAGCTTTCAGAGTCAAAAAAAAGAAGGGCCCTCACCTAGTGCCCTAAACCCTAAACCCTAATGGCAGCTCTCTCAGAGGAACAAAACGCAAAGAATCGGACTCTTCCCCCTTGGCTTTCTTTTTTTGGGAGCCGAGGAGCTCCACGGACCCGGTGAACTCCGGTGGCGGATCGTAGGGTATGCACCTGATATTATACCATATTGTACTATATTATTCTATATACCATATTATACTATATTACACTATAACATACTGTATTCTACTATAAGATACGATAATATACTATAACATGGGGCACAGGAGCACGCGACAAACCCGTGCAGCTCGAGAGGAAGGCTTGGAGATGCTGCTGGCGGGTGGAGTGCCGCACGCCTACCGGGGTGTTCAACCTAGTCATTCAGTAGGGGTCGAGACAACGGAAAGGAAGATGAAGAAGCTGGGTACCCGATGGCGAGTCGATTCGTGTTGTTGAAGGAATGCTCTGCAAGCTTGCTGAAGAGGTACATGGCTCGCATGACCACTTGGCGATTTGGGTGTGGTCTTCCACATGTGGCCACACCTGCTAGAACCTTTCCCGGCTTTGCCCAACACTCACGAAACAAAAGGAAGCCGGGAAGCGCCCAACACAGCCTCCCCTGGAAGGCTTCTACTCCGTCCGTGCCCGGTCACCTACCGGCGATGGGTGTGGTGGGCAACGAGATGTACCTCGGCGACAGTCATGCGATGAAACACTGTGACCAGACAAACCAGTGAGACTCGGCATGCAGAGACACACACACACATTAACATTAACATTGTCTTGATATTCAATGCATTTATGGCCTGAACGTGTAGGTGTACATGCGGATTTATCTTTCTGCACATACGAACATATATTCAACTGCATATGCAATATTTTTACGTGTATGTACGTATGTATGTGTATATATATATATGTATACACATACATACATCTCTCTCTGTATAGATATATCCATACACATGCATCCATCCATCCATCCTTCCTTCTTTCTTTCCATTACACACATAGATACACATACACAGATTGCCACATAAAGTAGATTGCAACAAAGCTGGGTCAATGAGGGCATCCGACCGAAGATGGACATATTCGGCAGAATGCCCAGCATACAATGCAGTTAAAAGCTAGAACAAAAGTGCCAGGCGAGCTCACTGTCACTAGGGGATGAACAACGTAAATCAGAGAACCATGGAGCGACTCTACCCGGAGGCTTCTTTGGCAATGATCAAAAGAAAGAATCTTCACATCTGGGTTCGACATCAAGAGTAATTACACGCACCGCAAAGACAGAGCACCTGAAGTTCTACAGCACGCACTGTCACAGCCCCTTCCTTCCGAATGCCAAACGTGAATTTGTTGCTGTCCGCGGGTCCACACCAGAGAGTCCTTCTCCTTCCGCAAAGCCTGGCCGCCCTCCTTCCTGAGTTCCAACTCCCGAGACTCTGTCATCTGACATGGCACGGCGGGTCTGTTTCAGGAACTGCCAGCACAAAAACCCAACATCGCACGCAGGCTGTTAAAGGCGGGCCTCACCTCCTGCATTCCTATCTGCCGACATCCCCAGCCGCTTCTTTGTCTCAATCGCCGTCCGACCGGAGACCCTCTCAAACTCACGCATACGGATCTATGCAATCCCACGCGTCAGATCACCCTCGTAGTCCGTGATGGTCTGAAACCTCGGTGTGATGTTCCGTCTACTGCTAGTCCTGGCGAATGGAAGCTAATGCAGCCAGTAAAGAACAACCTGAGTCGATGTTAAACCCGAGTTGGAGAACTTCCTCACCGGATCTCTCAAAAAATTCCATACCTCCTGTTCAATGAAGGCCTCTTTCTACTTTTTCCAGGCATCAAGGCCGTGTAAGACGATGGGAAGCATAAGGCATCAGCCAAGGTGCTGCTTGGGGCACTCCTCCACACAGACGCCGTAGCGACTCTGCAGCAGCTTGTCCTGACTCCCCGCTTGCACCCGAATCCAAGCATCCGCGAAACACCCGGGTGCATGCTCGCTTGCACTTTCATGCATGCACGCATGCACCAAACGAATGTCCTTCTTGAAGTCGTTCTCAAGGTCCGGGAACGCCGCGAATGGCTTCGCCTCGCACAAACCGACATGCACATCTACAAGTTCCGGCAGTCGAGTAGCTGGCTTGCAGCTTTTTTTTTGGGGGGGGGGAGGGGGTCCTTTATGTGTTAGGTTTAGGGTTTTAGGGTTTAGNNGGCGGCGCTTCACAAGGCCACACCTTGGCTCCGAAGTAAACCTAACGAAATTCTTCAAGCACAGACATCACGATGATGGGCCTCCAGCGGCTCGCGGCCACAGTGCTGGCCGTAGTGGTCGCGGCCATGTGTAAGCGAGTAAGCGCCATCTGCATCCTACCACTGCGACGTTTGAGACAAGACGATCCGTAGCCTTTGGCTCTGCGCCAGGCAAAGACACTGAAATCTGGCGCCAATGGTGTGATGGGGAATGGTGTAACCTGTAAAAACTTGGGGAGTCTGGCGAACCTGGGGAACTCTGCAAGATTCTTTGCCTCCAAGGCGAAGCCAGAAAACCCTTGCTCGGGTGGTTTCAACCACCCCGTTGTGCCTTCAGCCCGATGACCACGACAATGGGCCAGAGAACAAAGACCACCAGGACTGGGACACCTTCGTATTAGGGCATCATCACCGGACGCAAAGATGTATTATAGGGTGCAGCTCGCAGCTGTGGGCGTGGGTTGCATGCCAAGTCTGCAGAATCAGCAAACGTACATACACGCACTGGTACGGGGCCTGAACACTGACAGTTCAAATGAAAATCGCAGCAACTGCTATGTACGAGACAGCTCCTGATTTTGGCCGAGTTGCAGCATACATCCGTGCACCTCACATGCTGGGCCATCAGTGAATGAGAGGACACGACTCTCCGTCTCGATTGCTTGCCGGGTCTACAGTGCCTACAGCAAACGAATGGATTTCAGCTGGAGTACCGGCGCTTGATATCAGGACCAGGATTTCCCTCTTGCTCCTCCTCGTCTTCGTCCGCGGCACCGCAGCACATGAGTCTTCGACAAATCCAATCGGTTCGTCACAACACAGTGAGCTCTAAAACTCCGGAAAGCAAAGCTGGAGCGATGCTGTGCCACGCGAAAAGTCTTGCGAAGATGGAGGCCGTCCAAAATGGACCAGCTCTTCCTACTGCTGTATGGTTCCGTTTCTCAAGCAACGCCTGAGAGCCCAAAGCAGCGGCCATGGGGGCGAGTAGGACCAAGCGAGTTGAGCCGAAGCCAAAGCGGGCCAAAAAGAGTTTGAACTCCAAAGCCACTTCACAGGGGATGGGGCGCACCAATAGACCGAGTCACCCCCAGCAGATTGTCCCATGATTGTCACCTCCGGGCTACGGGGTCTTCGGAACATGGGAATAGCATCGACTGCAAGTCCAGGTCGATGCTCCGTGCAAGCGGGCTTCTGCTACCCCAAACTTCTAGAGTTTGCCAGGGGTTGAAGACAGAAAGAGGAAAGTATGCCGTGCGTCCGAAGAGCTTCCAGACTCTATTCTCACCCCTCCCCCTCAACCCTAAACCCCAAGCCCTCTCCCCTAGCCATCAAGGCCACCCGCGAGGCGTCGCCGCCCATAACCCGGATCTCCTTCTGCACCCACTGGAGAGCGGCGACCTGCTTCGGGGGATCGCTGCAAAGCTGAGAGGAATCGACGGCATCTATACGCAATTGTAATCATAATCAATAAAAACAACAATAACAGTAGTAATGGAGGGATAATAACAAATACTACTAGTAATAAGAATCAAAAATAATAGCAGCAATGACAATAATAGTAACAATAACAATCATAATCATAGCAGCAGCAGCAGCAGCAGCAGCAGCAGCAGTAGTAGTAGTAGGAAGAAGAAGAAGAAGTAATCGTATCAATAGAAACAACCGTCGTAAGAAATGCGTACTGATAGTTGTAATAACAGTGGTAGCAGTAGCAAATAGTAGTTTTGGAGGTGCTAGTAGCTGCTAGTAGTAGTCGTCGTCTACTAGTAGTAGTAGTAGTAGTAGTAGTAGTAGTCGTAGCAGCAGCAGCAGCAGCAGCAGCAGTAGCAATGCCGTTACCGCTTGCAAAGTCTTGTAAGCAAAGTGGCCATGGCATCGCGAAGTCACTCTGGGGAACCCATCATTATCGTTGTTGTTATCGTTCACTTGTCGTTCGACTAACATCTACATCGCCACAGCAGCTTGTCACCAGTAGCAAGGGCCTACATGACTGAGGATTGTGCCCGGCATGATGCCGGCTCCTTCTGTCGCCTGCCTACCCAACTAGAGTAAAGCCCATATCCCAAAGCATCGCTTTTTATTCTTAATTACTTATCGCTTTAAGGGTCAAATGCACTATCCCAAACACTGCCGGCAACTGCCTGTCATAAATCCCACTCGGCACTGGAAAGTCGTGATGCTTCTTCGAGTTCCCCGCACGCTTGTTGATCTGCTGACCTAGGAATCGGCAGAAGAGCAAGCACAACATCCAGTTTAGCACAAGTGTCAGGTCTGCATCCTTGGTTGACCTATCGGAAACTTGGAAAACTCCGAAAGCGCGGTACACTTTAGGATCGCCATCAGCTTGATGGGCACCACGGCTGGCTTCCAAAACTCGACAAAACTTAACAGGCCCGCCCGCCCAGGACAAGATCACGTGAGTGCCCCGAGAATCAGGCGAGCATGGCTCATATGTGCACCAAGAGAACGGAAAAGGGACATCATCCGAGAACCAGGAACAAAGAGCCGGTCAAAAACAAGTCCGCATCGAACGTTCCGACCAGACGACCTCACCGACTGCCGGGCTAAACCTGGCCCTGATTTGTCCGTGCCTTCCTCTCATGCACCCCATCATCTTGTCATCTTGTCTTCGCCTCAACCCCAGAGGTCCCAGGCCGCCGTATGCCCGAGAAACCTGCCACCCTAACGCAGAGCCAGAAGTTCAATGTGAAAGCCTGAAAACAGCTGCTGGCAGCGAATTGTTCGAGGCCCCAGCCGTTGAATTTCTCCACGGCTTCCCCCACGTGCGCGGATGAGTCGAAGTCAATGTATGCGTAGCCTCTTCAGGCGATGATTGAGTTCCGTGTTTGGCTCCCATGGTTGCGGCCTACGGGTTGCAGCCGGTTAGCAAGCTAATCCAAACATGATCCCTGTGCCCAGCCTTTGGACCTCTTCAAGAAGTCGCGCACAAGCCGCACGTCTTTAAGCCTGCCATGTCTACAAAGCGCAGCGATGCGAAGTTCTCAATCCTGAAACGCTTGAAGCAGGAGCCAGCTTGAATGAAACGACGTGGCACATCCTCGAAATACAGCCCTTTGTTTAGAAGTGCCCTGTTCAACATGCCGGGGTGGCCCGTCCACCTTGACAGAACAAGAGCCGGAGCTTAACATTGACAGCAAGATGGGGAATCCCAAAGGCCGACGACCGACACACACACACACATACATACACACGGCAGACCAATGGCGATCATGTGCTTTGTCTTCTGCCCGCGTGAACACTGGGCAGCTCAGGCAACCCTGCAGGCTTGCACAGGCCGGCAAAGCTTCCGGGTCCATGTCAGACCGCCTCCAGCACCCTTGTGCCAGATGCGGCCACCAAAAGAGTTCGCTTTGCAATCCGAAGGCGAAGCCATCACACTCGAGCAGAAAAGATAGCAGGAGTAGAGTCAGTAGATCTGGCGGTGCTCCTGTGAAGGCCACTCTCCTTCTGGGCTCCACGGTTGACATGGAGAACTTTGCTAGAAAGTCTGCGTGTCGGAATTGCCTGTCCAATGATATCAAGCGGGAATCAGTGACGTCTCCTGCTCGGAGAGCGACACACTAAGAAAGCGAAGCATCGGCGTGCAATTATTGTTCTTGCCCACTGCTATTTCGAATTGCGCGCCTCCCAAAACCACCCTGCAGCGCACATCGATGCAACTGTAGTGCCGCGTCATCAGAAGCACCTAAGGTGCTTCCGAAGCTTGCAAAGCCTTGCCATGCCTGCTTCGTCCCATTCGGGGTCGCTGGCAGTGCCATCTGATTTCAACAACCGGGTAATGCGGTAATGCTTGATCGCACGCGCTGGACCCCGTATGGTGTACCCCAGTTCCCATGAAAGTAAAGCTGGGGAGAACGAGCAGCCAAGGCAGGACGAATTCTGTTAAAGCCATGCACGCAACGGCTAAACGCACTTCTTGTGAGCGATGCCTTGATCGAGATGCGCAATCCAACAAAAGCGTGCAGATTACAATGCGACCACGACCTGGCGCATTCTGAGCCGCAAAGACCTTGCATGGGTCATCTCCCTGAATCTGCACACCTTTTAACGCCTGCTCGTCCCACATGGGTGCAAGCCGCATTCGTGGAGCGCAGAACTCTTGTCGGGGTTTATGAGGCTAATTATCCCTCAATCTACCGTACGTAGGTCTGGAGCTATGAGCTGCAGATCCATCCATGTGGTAATTCAAAGCAGAGAAAAACAAGGTATTGTTCGCTGACTGCAGATAACCCAACTGGCAAGACGCGCAAAAAAGCTTTGCACATCGGCGAGCGGTTGCTGTTCGGGATTTAGAGCCGTAGCATTGCTTGGGCTTGGGATGGTTGGGAGATCGTCTGTCCTCGGCGACACACGATGGCACACGATCGTGCAGGACATCACTCATCCTCATCACTTTGCAACGAAAGGTCGATGTCCGTCGGGCTGCCATGTGATTCCTTGCGTCTGGTCTCGTTGTGGCAAGTCTTGCGAGCAACTCGGAACAAGCTGTCTGGTCGGAAGCTGTGCAATGCTGTTGTAAGTGATTGACTGGGAGAACCTATGCTGCCTCCTTGTGCGTAATATGCGTGCATGTGAGTAACATAATATGAGTGGCGTTATGACAAGTGATGCAATGCACTGCAACGCCAATATCATGTGATGTCATGCAATGTCACATAATTAATGTCACGAAATGCCGCGTTAGAGCAAGTCATGTTAAGTCATGTTAAGTCATGTCAAGTCATGCTGTTCATGCAGTGTCAGTGTCATGCGGCGTGTTGTGCTGCAATTGCACATAATATCGTATAATGTTGTGTTCTGTCATGAAAGGTCATATAATGAACGTTATGCAATGTAGTGAAACGTCATGATACATGCTGTAAGACAGTAATGTATTGCATTTCCATGCAATGATAGCGCAACGCAACACTACATCATGTGGTGTGTAGTAAGTGTAGTATGGTGAAATTGATTCAGAAATGCTTTCTGTGGATCAAGGTTGTTCAGCACGAGTCGGCCATAGCGCGAGGCACGCAACTCCTGCAATGCAAGGCTACTTTCGCCAGGTCAGAACGAACGAATTACACAACTGCCCACGGCTGTGAGAATCTTGGTCGGATTGGCTTGGTTTGTGGGATGCGGCCGCAAAACGGAGACGAAGCAAGATCCAAGCATGGGCAGGAAATGCTGCCACAATTGCTGCTCCTATGCAATGCTTTCAAGGACGACTTGACTTCAAGTGTGACACTGACCGTAGCTTAAGGTGTACAAAGTCGCCCGCAGAACATATGTCTGACCGCAAGATGTTTTCAGTACCCGCGACTTTGTCCTCCGAGTGTGCCGCCACTTCTCTGCAAAGCTCCACTTTCTGCGGCTCCGGCAAGTAGTTGACCACTAGCTGCCTAAGATAGTCTGTGCTAAGCTGAAAGGCAGCTCGAGCGCCTGCACCCAAAATCTCAGTCGTGAAGGAGCCATACTAGGCTGAGCCCGTGGCGCAACGGCATGGCCATAGCGGCTCCTGGATTTGTCGACCCAGGCTTTGAAGTCTCTTCAAAGTGTTACTTGCCAAACGAATACCTCGCAAGGAAACGGTAAACAAAGCCCTCCGAAGCCCCCCTGCCTGAACCTTGTTAGGACACACACAGGGGAAATTGCGCAAAACTGATGGCCGATGAACCTGACCGTCGAATCAGAGGCCGTATTTGATGGAATGTGCTGGCCTGGCGATGGAGAGAATGAGGCCTGGTTCCAGGTTCAAGGCCAAAGCCAGCTGCACTCGTTCCTGCAATCGGAAGCTTCCAGACCGGGAAACGAAGAAGCGAAAATAACACCGCAGATGCCAGCGGCAACTCGGACAACCCGAACCAGTTGACAGTTCGTCCTCTTGAGATCCATTCGCCAGGGCCTTGAGAAGCACCGCCACACCATTGGAGTCCGATCCAATGAGGGCAACCTGGGTTATTCTCAATCATGAGTCACAGCTATCACATCCCTTACACAAAGTGCCTTCCCAACTCGCATGTTTTCCGTGCCAATACGATGTTGGAGCCCACAAGAGTGCGGAAAACTGTCAGAGGGAGCTGTTGGGCAAGGCGTCAAAAAGTCCGAGATTGAAATGAGGCGAGGCACACTCTTTAAAAGCCGCTGGATGATCAGCGACTGGTGGGCACAACTGCCATGCCTGAGAAGAAAGCCCATCCCGATGCAGCTCGAACCTCCTGCTCATGTTGCGGTGCAGTTCAGGCACTCCAGCAGCTGCTGTAGGACATAGTTGCCGTAAGGGTGTCTGGACCTGACCAGAAAACGCTATGAGCACGATGAAACACAGACACCAGGCAGGGATTGTGGCGCTGTCAGCAATCCATGATGGTTCTGTGAGGTGACTGGTGACAGGTGCCCGAAAACAAACACACACACACAAACACACACACACACATACGTTATTTATGATTGCAACACGGGGCTGGACAGGCCCCATTTTGCCCCATGCCTCGAACTCATTCCGACTGCACTTTGCTGCACTTGGACAGTGGCATGTGCTAGAAGTGCGGGGTTGCTCGCCAAGGTGTTGCAATCCATGGACATGCAACTTTAAAGCACGAAGCCAAGACAGTGCCCCTAAAGCAGATCCAATTCCAGGTGGTCTTCTCCAGTGTGCCATCCAAGTAACAGCGGCACAACCTCTGCCAGCATTGCCTCGGTCCACAGGTCGAGATACAAAGCAAGCGCTTGTCGAAGCCTGCGTGCCCCTTCCGTTGCACGACATCTCGAATCTCAGCGGCTTGGCTAATTGCACTCCTCGATATACTTGGAGGAGCTGCAGCTGAGGGTAACTTATGGCAACTTTACGCAAGTAGCTATCCCAATCCCCAGCACAAAGATATTTCGATGCCCCCTTCTCTCCAGGCAGCAGGCATGCTTGCAGAATCTGGCACATGTCCTCTTAGTTGCAGCAAGGGCGGTTGGAGCAAGCCACCACTTGAAACTCTCGCTCGTGCTCAATGAAAGCCCAGGAAGTAGCAACGGTGAGTTTCTCATGATACCTGGCACCTCTACAGACTGCTGTCTATCCCCGATTGCGTGAACTGGGACATGCCCTGCAAAGTCCGTCGGGCGCGGCTTCAACTGCAGATTGCTTGCCATCGCGAAACAGCAACAGGCAAAGAGCTCGTGAGGTTGGCACCTACTGACGGGCTAAGAACTCACCGGTCAAGAGCTGCACTTTGACACCTGAAGCACTACATGTGCTGGCCCTATATGGACCAATAATCCCTTCAGAGCCAATGCCATACATAGCTCAATGACTCAAGCTGCCTCGGCCAGTGGTGCGGTCTGCACATGGTTGCAATGCTCCAGGAGGCGTTGCAGAGTGCGGCAGCCGTACTTATGCCTCTTCGGGCCCGGGTTTGGTTGGCTGAGGTCAAGGGTCCGTTCCACAACAATAAGAACAAAGGCCCCGCGCATGACCCTTGAAGCTTTCTGAAACTGACTTGATGTCTCCAGTTGCCGCAAAAGCCTTGAATGGAGGTCCACGAATCCCGCGAACCCCAAGCCCGGCTCTCCCGCTCTTGACTGCCTGGCCTCGCCAGATAGCAGATGCTTTTGGGACCGGGCCGCAGTATTTCCTCAATGATGAACCTCAGATCTCGAGCTCGAGCCACGGCCAGGCCGACCAGGTGACTCCAGGTGACTGGATTACCGCATGTTTGGGGCGAGCGAAAGGCTACAAAAAGCACAGCTTGGGCATGCCTCGGCATAGATGTCATGGCTTTTCACAACGCAAAGCTGAGCCGTACTGCTCGTGCTGCAGTCCATTGTCGCACTGGCGGCGGTTGGTGGCAGCATGAACTGCCATGTTAAACCTGTTTTGGTGATCTGGATTGCGAATCACTGGAGCAGAGCTTGATGCCCACGTCGGGATTGAAAGGGCTCTGTTGCCGGAGCAAAACCAAGGAAGTTTGTCAAGTCACTGGCAAGCTCCAGGCCGCAATGCAACAATCAGGCGTTGCACAACGAAGTTGGCATGGGGACACCGCACTGCCTGCAAGTGGAAGGTGTTGCGATCACGACCAGGCAAGGACTTTTCAAGTTTGTGCTATACGGGCTCTCGACTGCAGGGTTTGGCTCTGCTGGCGGGGGGGGGTACATGGGGGGTACTCTCGAAGCGGCAGATGCACACGCTTTGTGCAACTTAGCCAGCTGCGCATCGCTTGCATCTCTTGCCTTCTCCTAATTAGCACAGACCGGGCAATATCATCCGGCGCAAAACAAGAGTCAGCAAGAGTGCAGACGAAGAAGTGGGTGTCATTCGCTCGGATTTCTGACATTATCCTGCCGGCTTTGGGCTACATGGCAGCACATGGCTTCAAGCCACGGCCCCACTGTGCAACGCGCACGATTGGCACGTGAACTCGGTTAGAAGAACTTGGAAGCAGAGTCAGCCCAGGCTTGGTTCTGGCCAGTGGGCTCTTCGCCATCCGTTGAATGATCCCAATGTGCCCCGAACACACATACCGAACACCTGTGCACCCTGGTGCCTGTCGCCTCAACAATGAAGATGTGTCATCTGCACCCCAAGCTGGTCGATGAGAAAGGCAAAATGTTGGGCCTGCTCCCGCATTGACTTGCCTTTGTCTGAAGCACCGCCGTGCCCGGCGTGGAAGTCTACCTTTAGAAGCACCGGGTTTGCATCTGTTTTCAGCCGGCGCAGCTTGCTCACGAATTTAAGCGGTTCCCAGTAGCCCACCATCGTGTCGTTCTGTGAAGCAGTCACTAACGCTGCCGGGTAGTCCTGCATTCGAACGTTGTCGTACGGGCTGTATTCCAACATATAGTAGAAAACATCACGCTGGTTTGGGTTACCCAGTTCCTCCCATTCGCCGCAGGTCAGGGGAATTGATGGGTCGCTCATGGTGTTGACTGCATCAACAAAGGGAACGTACAGCAGAACTGCCTTAAACAGATCTGGGCGGAGATTCATCGACGCCGACACCAGCAAGCCACCACTACTCTCTCCCCACGCGGCAAGAGTGGACTTTTCTGAAATGCCAAGGGCCACGAGTGTCTCCGCCACGTCGATGAAGTCGTGAAAACGGTTTTTGACCTTCAAATAGCGGCCATCTTCACGCCATCTGCGGCCCAGCTCGCCGCCTCCTCTCACATGGGCAACAGCATAGAGAATGCCGCGGTCCAAAAGGCAAAGGAGGTTTGAGTCAAACCCCGGGTCTTGGCATGCCCCATATGCACCATACCCAGTGAGAATTGTCGGAAAAGGCCCTCCCTGCAGCCCTTTTGGGTGTAGGTCTGCCCGGTAAACCAGGGAGATGGGCACCTTTGCGAAACCCTGTGATGAGATCCTCTCCGCCCGGTACAAGCTTGGATTGTAGTGCTCCGGGCCTGACTCCTTAATGAGCTTAAACTCGCGAGTCGATACATGGTACGTGTAATCACGTCCGGGCACAATGTACGAAGTGTAATGCACCCGCAACGTGTCCGTCTTGAATAGATCATTGCCGCCCAAACTGACCGAGTACAGCGTCTGTGCAGCTTTCTGGGTCCGTGGGGTGCTGACATATCCACCTGAAAGCACAACGTGCATGGAGCTGGCGGACAAGTTTACAGTTTAACTGGGAGCAGCAAGTCCAAAAAAAGCAGAAACACAACAGCCCAAGGCCCAAGGAGGTCCCAGGGGCGGTTTGCAGCCATCTCTGGGAAAACCAGCGAGTGAACTGGACCTTTTGGACTGCCATCCTGGACCCAGGGGCTTCCTACCTGTAGCATACCTATAGAAAAAGGATGCCAGGCCAGGGTCTAAGCCGAGACTCGGGTAGTAGCATGACAAACACGCAGCTCGCACTGCTCTGGCGGCCCTCTAGCGCCAAGAAGTCTTGGAAGCATTGCACCGAATCCAGCCGCACATGCGGGTCCGGGACCCACAAGTCTTGCCAGCTGCTGCTCGGTCCTGGAATAGACGACAGCTGGGTACAACATAGCTTTGAATTCTTGGTATCGTCCTTGTCTGTCAAGATGTACAGCATGCCTGACCGGTGGTCCACCTCGTACTGGATGCCGAACTGCCGAGGGCACACTGAGACCAAGCGGGAATTGGCATCGTGCAAGTCCAACAAGTACGTTTCGGCTGTTTCGCTTGATGCCGACTGTATGACCAGAAACCGGTTGTCGCTAGTTTTGCACAAACTAAGGGAAAAACGTCGATCCAGCTCTTCCCAAATCGTGGTGTCGGAGGACTGGGAAGTTCCCAGGACATGACGCCGCACAACATAGCCTCTGTACTCGTGGTCATGGCCAATGTAGTATGCAGCCGCATGGCCGCTCGCCTCCCAGACGATCGATCCGTCCGTCTCTGTCAACTCAGCCTCGTCGTTACTCAGCTGGCTTTCCTCCATGTCCGCCGCAGCAACCGCAGCAGCAGGGCGAAACCGGATGCCGTAACTGTCATTTCCTTCGAAGTCTTCCGCATATGCTATGAACTCGTGATCCGCGCTGGGCTCTGGGCCACAAACAGAGAGGTATGGGCGCGAACCACCCTCCCCATCGTCATTGAGATCGTTTTCGTCCAACAGAAGTTCCTCATCGAACAACTGCAGCCCAATAGCTGTTGCCAGCGTGGCAACATCCGAAGGGACAGGGGTTCCGGGGCCCTGTAATCGCGCACGGAAGTGGGCCCCATAGAGCTGGTTCCTGAAGCCTCTGGTGTAGTAAGCGTAGCCGCCTGGATAGACAGATGGGATTCCAACGGAGGACTCCTTCTCGTGGCGGCGCATCTCTCGGTATAACTCGTCACTTATGGGTTTCAGCGTGGACAATGCCCTTTGACAGTAAGTGTCCTCATCTTGTAGGAGCTGCTGTACTTCCATGTTCTCATGGCTGTCGTCACGAAGCCATTTGTAGGGATCTGTACGGACAATTGGCGGGTCCATGGCATTCAGGCCACGCTCCTCTCCAGGCACGAGGCCACAAAGCACTTGCTGTGGCCGAAGTGGTGGCAGCGGCGGCTGCAAACCTTCAAGAGCCAAGCGCTTTGCGTCCGCCATCTCCTGGTCTTCTCTGGATCGACATCTCTTCAAAAGCCCAGAAGATGTATCACTCACCGACCCACCTAGAAGGAAACCGAAGTCGACCGGCCCAGACTTTGCTGACAGGTTGGTACCTGCTTTGAACTGGACAATTCCACCAGCTTGGGAATCGTCAAACCCAGTTTCAGGCGGCCCTCGGTATGATTCCTCTGCCACAAGCATATTGTCATCCTCCTCGTCATCGCCGTCATCCTCGAAACCATCCGGCTCACGGAATGTTGCCATGAGCAGGCTACGCGGCTTGTCGTCGCTTCGTGCTTCAATTATAGGATTCTACAATCTGATTACCAAGGCTTTGTGTGGCCAATGCTGCCTGGAGCATGCACAGCAGACTGTGGGCGAACCTCTGCAGAAGCTGTTAAAGAAAGCACCCCTCGATGGCACGTGCAGTATTTGAGAAGCAAGACTGAATGTCTAACGTGCTGTGCTGACCCGTGCCCCCGTTGATCACTGCAGTACTCTGGTCATAACAGTAGCGCCTCCCAGATGTGCCCATGGAGTTCTTTCGCGATGGCCTGACAGTGTCTGGCCATGCAACAGCATTCGCCTATGCCGGATCAGCTGGAAAGCAGGTGTAAGCTGTGTCGGAAACTGTGCAAATGCCATGTGTTATCAGTCATGTAGTGCCCGTACCAGAACGACCATGCCTCACGCTCTGCATCGCTGCTGCATAGTTCTATGGCTTCCTCCGTTCTATGAAGGCATGTAGGCTTGGCTACACAGGTGGCAGGCTCGTCAGATTTCATGCCGAGGACTCTCTCCACATCGGTATCACAATGCTCACTCATCGCTTACAATCCCGACATAAGTCCTGAACAGCTCGGCTTCCTCGTTGGCGCAGAGAAAGCTGCCACACATGACCTTCCGCGAAGCACAGTGACTAAGCGTGTATTCTCTTGCCGACGGGGGGGTTCATGACATATGACCCGTACCCCGCCACCAAGGCCACAAATGCAGCCGAGCTGTTCACACCAAGTTGCCGGTGACTTGCGTGCCGACGAAGTCCGAGAGCGTAGCAGACGCCTCAGTCGACCCACAGAAACGAAAACACTGGATGAACCACTGCGAAAAGACTCTAAGAGGCGGGAACAATGATCGTCACATCCCATGGGCTGCGTCCACATCCTGTACCCCGACGACTCAAACCCATGAATCAGCTTGGTAAGGAGCTTCGGTGGTCTCTGTCTCTGTGACAGATCGAGGCAAGTAGGCAGCCCAAGATGAAAACCTTGTGCATCGCACAGAGGCATCTCCACGAATCCCAAGGCTGGTATCAAGCTCAGTCTAAACCTTCGCAGGCCTTTTATCAGCCTTATCGCAGGTCCTGGACAAAACAATGACTAGCAGGCCGGCTCCAAGATTGCCTCAGCAAAGTAGCCTAAACTGGAAGCTTGCGCACCTCATGTCTTTGGACATCTGGTGAATCTAGTGGGCCTTAGGCTTAGCAGCGAAATCCGCACCCGTTTAAAACCAGAGCAGCTCGTCGGAAAGAATCTTCAATCGCAGACTCAGCCCTTTTGCGGGCAGAGGCATAATCTTCGCCATGGCCGATGCAAGGTGAGCGCATGCAAGCTGTGTCTCCTGGGGGCTTGCAAGCTGAAACGAATTCTGCTACGGCTACTTCCAAGTTCCGCGCCCCGAAGCAAAAGCTGTGGGCTATTACGCACGCAGCTGGCTGAGGTTGGAGTTAGCGTAGGACTGCAATGGTTGTGTGTTCGCTACGGTTTGGGACACGCCTACAACGGGCTACCCTCCTCCTCCGGAAGAGGCCAAAACTGTGCTTGAGCAAGAAACGGTATGGTAGCAGTCGCAGCTCACCGGTGTCAATAATAATCGAGCATCAGAAAACAACGGACACATAAACAGTACAGAGACTACAACCGCGAAAGCGAAAGCCTACCGTTCACTGGGGCGCTTCACTGTGGCGCATGGCGACTACAGCATGCGTCTCTAGACACATCAACGCTCATAGTGATGCCCTTTGAGTATTGTACTAAAGCAAGAAAGACGGGCGATTGAGCTTCGGCTCCACATCTTTCTGTTCGATGTGCTTGCTTTACACTTAAAGTTCGCCAATATAAAACCAAGGACGTCCGGCCATCAAAGGCTGACATGCGAAGATCAGCGGCAAAGAAGCAGAAAGCCACAGAGGCAAAGAGGTGCCCCGCGGAACAGCGGTTTCTTCCCTTGAGCTCGGCGGATTTAACCCTGGGGCTCAGCCCCGCACATCGCTGAAGACTCGGCGAAGGTGAGCTTCGTCGACAGACCTCACGACAGGCAAGAGACTCGGCTGAATGCAACTACTGCAAGGAGGCATGGGCACCTGTGCTCTCTTGCCGGTGTGACGCATTCCAGGTAGGGAGGAGTTCACGCTGCTTGCCTCCAAGCACCAAATCCACCCCTCAAACCGGCATTTAGTTCCCACATCCGCAGAGAACAAAGAAAAAAAAAAAAACAGCTCCCGAACCATCCTAGTGAATCGCGTCTAGAGATGCTTCCAGGTGCTGTCGCAGATCATCATCTGAGCGCTGAACCAGTCCAGGTTTGCAACCTGGCTCTGTGCTGAGACATGGTACCTACTTCCCTATGTGCTCCGACTGGCTGGTGGCGTCTGAACTGCAGCACTTGAGCTCGCTGTACGCAATCGTTGGGGAGCCTGCAGCTATATGATCTATATGCATACCTTCGTCTGAGAGCGACTGTTGTCAAAGGAACCCAACACCACGGCAACAGAATGATCCTGTCCCGAACAAAACCAAGGCCAGGCACATAGACAGTGTGCTGGCCCTCATCCTCCAGCTTGAGGTCGGCAGCCCTGTGAGAGGAAACTGCAGCGGTTTTTCACCCTGAGGCTCATGATGTAAAGGACTCAGCGGCGCGAACTTTCAGAGTTTCTGCGACGACAGCTTCCGAAGGGAAGAATGAGGAAGCTGAGTCACTTCTGCAGACTACCTTGACCAAGCCCCAGGCTTTTCTGCTAAACGCAGCTGGTGGTAGTGGGAACCTTGATGCGAGAAAGCTTTGCCGCCTGATGGGGACCGTGCTGGCATGCAATACGCTTTCAAACTCGGCACGTGGGCGTCCAGAATCAGCAAGATGCAGGAACATCTCACACGACAAGTTTGCCGCATGCATCGCGCTTTGGCGAACTTTGACCTGCGGAGTCTCCGTCCGCGGGTTTGCCACCAGAATCGGCTTAACTGGACTTGCCCTGGAGGAAATCTCTGAGCGAGGCCACCAGCGACGGTGGCCAACGCCGAATTTCCGCAACCCATTTCAGATCCTGCGCGCGACAAACTGTCGTCTTACACAGGACACATGGATGACTGCAGCTGAACCGTGATGCATCGTGGCACCTTTGCAGGACCGGCTGTACCATTTGTTATCATGGGGAAGGAACGACTGAGTGCTGCGTGCGCTGCTGCCTCTCTAATGACTCGCATGTAAGCTAAGGCGAGACACCTTGTAGGATTGGCAGCCTGTGTCAATGTTCTCGCATGCGAACTTCCACTGCGACTCGGCTTCTGCAATCTTCCGCTGCGACCAGTACGAGGCCGCCAAAGCAACATGTGCGTCTGTGACGCCGGGATCGTTCCGCACGACCTACCCATCAATTAAAAGGCTCAACAGCAAATATCGCTCGCTCTCTCTCTCTCTCTCTCTCTCTCTCTCTCTCTCTCTCTCTGTCTCTCAGCTGTTCTTCCTTCTTTCGTTGTTTCAGGTTTAAAGCTCAAAGTAGAGTAGAGTTCAATCCCGATGCAAGCACACGGCGCGCGACCCGCTTCCTGATCCTTGTCAGTAGGACACATTGGCAATTTGCACAACATCCCTGGTGTGACTTACACATACTTGCTGCGGAAGGGACTTCGGACTTCGCGGACGATTCAGATCTCGGGGACTGGGACGGATCGTGAAGTGGAGGAAAAGTACGGTCTCGGAACGAAAGACACCGGAAAGAGAAAGAAGGCCCGGGGCCTAGGGCGGCTCCGGGTCATCCGGCTCCACCATTTGCAGACAGATTTCGAAACCTACTTCTAAAAACCAAACAAACCCAGATACCCGTGAATTCTTATCACAACAAGCTTGAAGTGGCTGGAAGTGTACTTTACAAAAATCTCCTATTGCTCGCCCAGGGGCCACTTGCATCACCTTTTCTGCCTCCGCGTCCCTGCCAGCACCGAACAAAGCGAGAGCCTGGGAATGCAAAGTCCAATACGGATTTCGCACAATGGCTTTCGTACACTGCAGAAAGAACCTGTGCTGCTACGCTGTGCACGGAACGATGCTTAAAAAATGCACTCTGGGACATGTTGCAGCTTGACCTGGCCTCGTTGGCACGCGAGAAGGAGGCCTGCCGCACCTCCCCGTCGTTGTCGAAGATTTGCGTAGCTTCACGGTAGTCTTCCACTGCCTGTCCGCACGAGGATGTCAAGCTCCGACTCCCCACAGCTTACCGTTCTTTTGGGGGCTGCAGCGCACATGCCCTCATGCCCAACCTGCTGCACTTCACACCCATGCTTCAGGCACAACACTGTTCATGTCCACCCAGGGCTTTCTGTCGAATAGGATGCATTACTGACCAAGAACTAAACATGGCTGCGAAATGCTGCGAAGTAGTACTCGCACATTCCACTGGCAATTCCAGGCCAGCCTACTGCACTCGAAATTCGGGAGAAGCTCAAACAAAGCCTAACGATCGCAAGTGCAAGTGCTCGAAACAGCACCTCCCATGCAAAACCAGATGATGGCCTCGACCGGCATTATGGCTACAAACCAAGGTCTCCCTGTATCGAAGCATGGTGCCGTTGCACTTGGCTTTTATGGCCACCAGTTCGCTAGAGAAGAAAGCTTCGAGAGGACGAGAGGGGCATGCCCTCCATGTTGCAATATGTTGTACAATGAGAAGGCGAGGAAAAGGAGTTCTGCAATGTAGCCACGAGCTCTGCATGAAGAGACTCAATGACGCCGCAAACCCCCTGCCCAGCCGCCAAAATCAAGATCAAGAATCAGGCCATCGGTTGAAGCCTCGTGTCAACTGCTTCCGCCGTCCAAGGACGAATTAGCCCGCGTGTCTCTGCACGTCGAACGGACGCCGGAAATTTACCATGTCTGAGAACTTTTTGCGGCATCAAATTGCCGTCTTGGAAAGGGCACGATGAAGAATCACTGCACTGGCTCAAAAAGCCTTGCCGGGACATGCAAAAAGGGTGCAACCATCTACCATTGTTCATCTGCATCAAGTAAGTTGTCATGCAAGCCTTACACTTACGCCACTTACATAATCATCCAGCGAGTTGCGGTCGCCACATGAAAAGGACCGTCCAAAAATCCCGGAGACTCTTCCGGCTGAGAATTCACAAGCGACTGCATCGTGCGCCCGACGCATGTGCAGTCGGAAGCTGGTGATGTGGCTACAGGGCTACGCATCATCCACTACGGCCATGTGCGTGAGGCGTGATGCGGCCTCGTCGTATCTGCCCAGCTGGCTGAGGGCATTCCCGCGGAAGTTCAGTATCAAAGGATTCATACCAAGACCATCACCCTCCTCGCAAGATCTGGAAAAGCTTGACTCTGGCAAAGGACTGACACTTGGATGTGCGCAAGCTCTCTGCCTCTACACTCGCTCCTGAATGGTGGCGTCGCCCTTCATAGCCTTGTCAGGCCTTCCATCTTTGGGCCGCAAGGCATCAATCGCCTTCGTGTAGTCTTGTGCTGCGCCTCCCCAATTCTTGAGCTCCTCATTCGCTAAGCCCCTCTTGACCAGGGCATCCGGATATTCACCTCGCTCCATCCATGTTTTTTTTTGCGACACTCCGCACTGGACGCTCCAACGCTCTACCCGTGACCCGAAGGAACAAGGATTAGCTTCGGTCGTCCAAGCAACTGTACATGAGCTTGTCGGGATTCCGTCGCAAGTCATCCTCCATGATTCCGATAGCAACATCGTAGTCCTCGACGGCCCCCTTTGCCTTCTCGGGAAGGCTGCCGCCGACCATATCGTTCAGTGCTATCCGGGCCCGCGCCCGACCAAGTCTCAGCCTCGCCTTTTCTTCCACTATGGCCGGAGCTGTGATTGCTCCGCTCTCCCACTTACTGATCGCCTGGAAGGCTCGAGCACACAAGTCTTCAAGCGCATCTAGTCGACACCCAAGCACTGTTGCAACAGCAGTATCTTCCGGCTGAATGCCTGAAGATGTCGCGAAAATCTTGCCAAGCGGCATTCCCAAGTGTCGCCTCTGCCTCTTCATAAACTGAAGAAGCACTTGGTGCTCGTGGGTCAGTCGCCAGCTTGGCAAAAGCGCCGGCAATCTCGTAAAGCTCATCTTTCGTTGCCTGCACTTAACTTCAAGATCGAACAGGCCGAGGCTTGCACAGCCTTACATTGAGTACAGTGAGTCACCAAGACCTCTGATAAGCGCAACTCCGAGCTGCTTTGCGCGGAGCAGCAGCGACTGCGGCAGAGACCAGGATCCGCCGTGGGAGCTGACGTGACAACACGACACCAGATCAGTGTAATCACTGTATTCAGAAACAACCCGAACATCGCCGACAGAAAGGCATCTCTATCCGACCTGGAAACATAAAGCAAAACCACATCAACGCGTGGAAGCTATGGGGAAACTCCAAAATCGGTTGGACTGCCGGGCAGACTGTGCAAGTGACCACACCATCCATCACGTCCGTGGCCTCGGCCACCGTAAAGGTCGCTGGCCAGAAGGCCCACAGTGAAAGCAGCGGAAGCAGCAGGCGCGCTCCTGCTGCTCTGCGTCCAGGCGTGTCTTTGACAGCCATCCTAGCCACGAAGGCCTATGCAATGTATGAGTCGCACAAGCAGCCAGACTGCATGTATTTGACTTGGGGTGTGTTCGTATTGTTATTCAGCTCAGTACACATGCCTGCAAGCCAGGAAAGCACAAGTCCGCACGGCGTGCAAGCACACGAAGTGCATCTCTATACTCTAATCAGGCTCTAATCATCTCTGCTTTCCATATCTACATCTGCCGACTAGCCGACGAGTTGACGTCCCCAGCTACAGGTGCAAGTGCAAGGTGCTCAGAGCTCCGCCCTTGTGAGGCTCAGCCTTCACTTCCTCCTTGGCATAAACCGCAAGCAGATTTCTTCGATGCTTCGTCGGCGCGAAAGCGGAATCCGGACACAAACGTTCACCCTTGATCTCACTCTGGCTTGCTCGCGGCACGCCCACCCACCGTCTCACTCCCTCACACACTTCTATGGATGGCTGGTCAACAGCGTAACGGCTACATCCGTGTCCGGGATGGCAGACACAACACAAACACACACACACACACACAGACAGACAGACAGACAAACAAACAAACAAACACACACACACACAGACAGAGGCACGTACGCCCTGTCTTTGTTGCGCTCACTCTCAGTCTCACTTTTGCTTTGCTTTATATACTTGGCCAGGCGGCTGATGAGCACTGCTTTTTCCTTCTGTCTGTAGGACATGAGGGGTCGGTACCTATAAGGAGCGCTCCTTTGTTCGGAGATTTTGGGGCGGTCGGCGGAACTTCGATGAATGCGAACCCCACGAAAAACAACAAAGACTGCTTCCCTCTCGCTGTGCTTCGCTCGTTTCGTTGGGTCAATTGGGGGGAACCACCTGTGCTTCTGTGCACGCAGCTCTGCATAGCCCCAGTAAGGTTCTCGCCGATGACTGCTAAGAAACCGGACTCTCTATCCTGCACTTGCAGCTTCGCCTCACATTCAAGTCGGAACCAACCCCCTCTGCATCTTCGCTGTGGTTGTCCGAAGTCATCCGAAGTCCAGGTCAGGTCAACACGATGCTCCGAAAGAACCATGCCGGTGCAACCCATGCATGTTAGTATCATGCTAGTTCACTCGGAATTGGAGCACGCAGTGCCGCCAAATTTCCTCACGGATTGCTCGCATGCAGCCGCTGCCCAACACCAAGACTCGACCTGCAAACACCTGCACTTTACTCCTTTGGCTAGGGCCGTGCGCGCGTACATGCGCGCATTGGCACCGTCTCGGTGCACTTTAAATCTAGTGGCACTAGTTTCGCAACTCCGACTGGACATACTGGGACCACATCGCACAGGCACCGAACCGAGGCAATCTGCCATGTGCGGCCCAAGCTTCGCCCAGACTGGAAGTGGCCTATTTTGCTGCAGCTGGTGACAGTTACAATGTCGCTAGACTGTAGGGTCCCTCTCTTCGGCTGTTTCGCAGAACGGAGGATAAGCGGAGGCAGCAAATGGCGTTTCGAGTCAAAGTCAAGGCTTTCTTTGAGGGCTGAAGACGGGAACACTCTTGCTTCTCACGACAAACGGGCACCATGTGCCCCGTGATCTGCGCCTTCACGGCAGAAACCTGGACTTCGGAGTTTTGCTCGCACTGCCCTGGCTAAAACACGACACGCCCAAATCACGTTTCTCTCGGCACATTGAAGTGGAGTTTCTCCCAAAAAAAGACTTGGTCCCAGGGTGCAACTCTCTCGCTCGCTCGCAGACTTTCTCTCTGCAGGTCAAAAGAGGGGGGAAACTGCCCGCCCTGCGCTCGTGCGCACTCTTCTTCAACACAGTCAAGGAGAAGGCGGAACCCCCTGCGCACTCTCTCTATCTCTCTCGCCCTTCTTTTGCTCCTTGTGGCTCTCGTCGCCAGCTTCCGTGACACTCTCCTTGCCGGTGCACAGCAAATAATCGATCTGCATGGTGACGATCATGCGTCTGACAAGTGTAACCTGTATGTCTTTTTTCCACAGGCTTGAACTGAGCTCGCCCGGCCAGATCCCTCGCAGCACATCGAACACAGAACTGGCTTAGGGCTTGGCCTTCGCATCAGCAGCTTCTTCGGGCGGGTCAGCATCACCTTCGGCCGGGTCAGCATCACCTGGCAGAGCCAGATCTTTCCCGCCGAAGTGCAAGTGCGGGTATAATGGCTATAACCAGCACCGGTTTCCTGCTTGATCGATCGGAGATATATATAATTGCGAAGCTGCGCAAAGCCTTGAGCACCGGCATTTTTTCCCAGCCGCCTAGCTGACACAGTAGCAATGCAGGGAGCTCGTCGGAACCAGCAGTGGATTTAGCAGCGGCGGTGGGAGCCTGCATCAACGGCATGCTAGACTTCGCGCTTTTGCAAACGACTCAAGATGTACCATGCTACTGCACGTCTGGCGAAATCAACAATGTTGCCAGCAAAACCTGGTCAGAACTTCCGGTGGACCGTCCAGGGACGGTAGGCATCAGAAACCACCAGAACCCTTTGTCAGACAACAGCTGTGGGCAGGGCTTGGCGCAAGTGCAGTGGCTTCCACAGCTACGTATCAGGACCAAAGCAAGAACACAGGCGAGCTTTTTCAAATTGCATCTACTAGACGCGGGGAAGTACTGCATCCCAGCTGCTAGCCAGTTTCTGGTCACTCAGTGCCGGTCAGTCATGTGCGCTTAAACTTCAAGACCGTCTTTCTATGTCATCTGCGTGGGGTTGTTTCGGCTGCCAGCCGCTCAGAGATGGTCTCCACACGCAACCAAGACTCGGCAACCCTCAAAGAATTTTAGCGCCCGGCGGTGGCCAGCCACTCCCAGACACACCCAGCAACGTCAGAGTTCCAGGGTACCGGGCATGTGCTCGCGTCTTATGTTGCCTCAAGATTCCCCACAAGCCTCACCATCGACAGCGACATCAGCTTCCTCGAAACCCGTCGTTGGGACAGTGGTGGACCCAACTTTACTAGAAGAACCTGTGTGCCGATGTCAACATCAAAATCCGCTTCTAAGCCAGCACTCAGGACTGCAGTAGATCCTGACCTGCGCGTCTTCTGCCGGTGCCTTCGTTTCCTGCACTGGCATAGAACAGCCGCAAGCTGTGTCGGTTTAACTTGCGACAGCTGGCATCCACTGCAAGGAAAGCGGAACCTGCTCTGTCTTTCGTCTCTTTTCCACTTGCCTCGGTCGCCATGAGCATGGCCCTTATTACAGTGCTTCCAACAAAGCAGAGTCCAACTAGCCTGCAGCTTGCTCTGTCGTGTTCTCTGGGAGTCACAGTCTTGGAAACTAAGAAAGCCACCGGAAAGCTTTTGCTTCCTTCGGTCTTTTTTTGGAGGCCTTGCCGAAGCATCGGGAAAGAGAACCCCTTCTGCGTCGCCCATCTGAACGACGCTCCCTTAATGCCTTCAAGGCAGTGTAGGATGCCAGTCAGATAGCTTTCTGCAGCTGGTGTGTAGGGAGCCGGTGCGAGAAGTCTGTACTGACCTCCTCTCCCTGCCAGAGTTGCTTTGAAATTCAGGAATGTTCTGCTGGGAGTTTCGACCTGCTCCCGCTGAGACCCACAAGTTGCCTTTGCTAAGAGAGACGAGTCACGCAGCTCTCTAGTCCAAGAGTCTAACAGCGACGGCATTTTCATCTGCCAGTACTGACAGGTACTCTGGCAGAGATTTGTTCCAGTATTGCGGCCCTTCCTGTGGGGTGTGAAGTCGCATCATCGCTGTGATTGTTATAGCCCTTGTTGTTGTGCTTTTTGGCTTAAAGCAAGTGCGCATCATGTTTGGCTGTTCTTCTCGCATGTGCTGGCAGTTAATTAAGGGGTTGGCAAAACAACTATTGGTAAAAAGACACGACCTGCTGCATGTCACATCAGGAAATGGGGTTGGGAAGTTCGCCAGGAACGTGCAAAACAATCGCAACTGAGCGGCCAGAGCCTCTTCCGGCTCGCCTTCTTCATCACAGCCGTCCATGGGCGATGCCTGAACTCCGGGAATTTCTGGAAGTGACGTCCGACGCGTGCATTCTCTCTCACACACACACACACTCACACACACAAACACAAACACACCTGCTGCGCCATGGCCCGAGGAAGCAGAGGGCACGCAAGGTGCTTCAGGGCTTGAGCATAGAAGCACAAGGCAATCGGGACGAGTTCTGCGCTATCTGAAACATGGTGGGCCGTGAATGACGTGCTTCACACCTCTTCTCGAACAACAACGTCAGTTCATGTCGGTTATCTGCCTAGCTCTTGCACTCGGCATGTGTCTGCCCCCGGACTGCCGTCAGGTTGCTCCATTCTGTTCAGGTGATGGGATTGAAAACAAATTCTTTATAGCCTCACGTGCTCCAACCAGCAATGAAAGCGGCCCGCTGTCGGCCGATAGCAAGCCTCAGACAAAGCTAATTGCAAGAATGACCTCCAATGATGTTCGAACCGTTACGTAATAGTATCAACCAGCTTGAAGGTCGTGTTTTCAGTCGCGCCTTTTTGCGCGGCAAGCTTCGGCTCAAACGGTCTCAGTAACGCCCGGATTGCCCATGCTGCACACATGACTTGCCGATTGCCGCCTTGCTCACTACTCCTTGTAGATGAACCTGCGAATCTCGCATCTATTGCTCCGTCCCTGCAACCTTTCCCCGACTGCATCTGTCACACGCCAGCACAGTGCAAGCACTGCACTCTGCCGCAGCGGCATCTGAAGCTTCGATGAATTGGCCATCGTCAGCACTGAGTGGAAGGTGGGGCACATGCAGCCGAGCATCGAGGTATGTTTGGAGTTCTCCCACTCGACAGGTGGCTTGTCCCCGCTGCCTGCAGAGAGAAGATGTGCAAGTCTTAATTTGAAGCAGGTACATGGCGAAGCTTGCAACGACAAGACCATACACAACAAGTAGTACTGCGCGCTGTCTGTTGCCCATCTTGCGAAACAGACTCAGAACAGATCTCCTTCATAAGCTGCACGTGCCGATCTGAAGCTCTGGGGTGCAACAGCATGCTGGGGATGATGCCACCGTACTCTGTGATGAACTCCTCCAGGGAGTAAGCCTGGATTGCTGCAGAAGCAAGCACCGGCACTTCAGCTCTCCCGTCAGCTCTCCCATCCCACCGGATCGAGCGAGGCCTGGCCATCTGCTGGGTCAATTCGCCTTTCGATGCCCTTGGCCAAGATCCTCGCCTGCGGCAATGATCTTCGCACAGACACGGGCGAGTCAAGCCTGCTGGCCCCTTGAATATACTCTTTACTGTCAAGGCAGGAATCTCTGAGCAGCAATCGTAAAAGCACTAGCATATCACTGAGCGCGCCTTCTTGACCTCGGTTTCATCATCGCTGAAACCGAATTCTTCCTCCTCTTCCACTTGCTTCCGCTGTTCGCCCCTCTTCCTTTTTTTGTCCTTGCAGAGGCAAGCAATTTCTCACCTTGCCTTTAATTTAACCCTGCATCATCCCTGCATGCCGTCCTTCATCTCCACATGGACCTCCGGAGGTGGCGGCAACGGCGGCGCAGCATCCTCATCGTCGTCAGAGTCCAGGACCTTGCTGCGACCCGCATCATGCCCGCATCCTGCCCTGGCTATCGTGCAGAGACTTCCACGTCACTTCCCTGAGAACCCTGCACTGATTGGGGCATACTTTCGGAACAGCTCGAAGTTGTCAGACTGCAGCCTTTTGCGCATCAGCAAGATTGAATTTGTGCTTCCTGCCACTCCCTGCTGCTGCAATGGGGACTGACAAACTCGGCTGAAGCACAGCAGTCTGACAATTTGTGTGACATCTTCGGCTGCATGCACACGGAGATGTAGACCTCTCCTCCACTCTCAACAACATCTGTTGCAGCACCTCAAGACGTGTGCAGAAGCTCTGCAGCGAAGCGGCTGCTTTTGCTGCTTCGGGCTGAAAAGGTGGATGTGGCCACGGATGAGATTGAGGCAATCGGTGGCAATGCTGCCCTGCCAGAGCAGCCAGTATTTGGACTACCCCCACCACCTGGACATAAAATTCTGCGCTGGCCTTGAGGCCTTCGAGAAATCTCCTGTGAGCCACGACGTTGTACCTCAGCACTTCTTGCAAGAAGGCCCAAGCAACACGTGCTCTAGAAAGCGGAAAGAATGCGTTCGACTACAGCAGGAACGAGTTTCTCGGAATGCTGTCCTAGATCTCTCTCTACCAAGGGAAAGAGGCCGTCGTTTTCCGAGCTGCAGTGGGTTTGGCTTGATCCGCCCCTCTTTCGCCGCCTGCACCAGAATCAAGCATCCTCACACTTCACATGGCCCGAACGCGACACCAAGCCCTCCTGCCTTACAGGCTTTGAAGAGCCAGCGCAGCCTGTCCATCGGCTTCTTGGGGAAGATCTCTTCCCACCTTCGCTGTAGATGCTTTCTCACGAGCTCGGGAAGCTGCACAGCCCAAACACGGAAGCGAAATCCTTGCCGGCTGCCGCCACGGCACGACATGGTAACGTACTCCTCCTGTTCTTTCACCTCCTCTTCTTTCGTCACCTGGGTCTACTGAGTCTAATCTGGTGCTGTAGCTGACACACACTGGGTCACTTTGCTTGGCTCATGTCAAACGCAGCCAAATCTGTTCTCGTTTTGGGCCTCTTCCTGGCTCCTGCCTGTGAATGTAACCCCTGGGCCTGCAGGAGCCTGAAAGCAGTAGCTGCTGCGGGAAGAAAATCTTCTGTTGCCACGTCGCCTTTCGCTTTCGTCTGGAAACGACCTGGCAGCGCACGCCGTCCGCACGCCACCAAAATCGGGAGCGAACGACTCACAACATAAGAATCACCCCTGTCAATCTGCTATGTGAGTAGTGAAGCTAGTGAAACCCATATTTCGTTTCATGCTTCGCCTAATGTTCCAATCAGGGTCGTGTTCACATTTCATTTCGCACCACTGCCATAGGTTGCCCCACCTGCTGCTCCGCTATTTCAGCACACGGCTTCAAACAGTCCAATCGTCTCCCATCTTGTCCCAGGAATGGTCGTGCACTGGATCGCTTCGATCAGGCCAAGAATACTTTGCAGGCTCAGCAGCAGAGGCAGTAGGAACAGCTTGCACGGACGAAGGCCTCGGCAGGAAGTGGCGCCTCTTCGCGAGGCGCATCATCCGGGTCGTCCTGTGTTTCGGCACCAAGGTGGGCTGACACAATCCGCTGGGACTTTTGTCACGGTCCCGAAGACTTGGCGAAAGTCTAGAAGAATACAATTGGAAGAGAGTGCAACCAGTGACATAATTCTGCTCAAGTTTTACAGAACCCACGACATGCACTAGCTGGCTAAGGGTGGGCCATGCTTCAATTATGTGAAAGAGCAGAATGCAAAGTTCACCTTGGACATACAGTGTGGCATGAAGATCGAGAAACTGCACAATGCGTTCTCATTGCTGGCACTTCGCGCCCCTGTAACCGGATGATCTCACAACTTATTGGAATCCGTATCAAGACCGCTGGTCTTCTGCTGACTTCAAGCAGATTCCCTCGACCAAATAATAACTGACTAAACACGAAAATGTGGCGAGCAAGAGTAACTTCAGACATATGTGGGTAGTTCTCCAAATTAGGGTCGCTTTTTCGGTCCCCAATATAGTACGGCACCCGTATTGAAAGGACCCCAAAAGGGACCCTACTTTAGAGAACTACCCATGTAACCTGTGGATTGCGTGCCAGGGTCTTTGGCTGCTAGCATCACAGACACCATATGAAGGCCCCCCGGCTTCGCATCGAAAGCAGGCTGTTGCTTCTACTGGCCTCGCCCCAGGCAGGTTTATCGCCCATGGAGGCTACCTGAGCGCGTGAGCGACGGGGGAATTCAGCCGACAGCAAGGTCTGTAAAGTGCCACTTCTGCGGCAGCTGGTCAGTCGCTGTGTCCCAAATCTAACACGCAGAACCTGCTGTCGGCCAGAGGCGCGTGCGTGGCACACTGCTTCCGCAAGGCGCCCGCACGCAAGGCGCCCGCACTAAAGTTGAGTTTCTGCTGCGGCCGAGCATTCGTGCGTGGCAGGATCTACCAGAACAGGTCACACAAACCCAAGCGCCGCAGTTCGACCTGAAATATTCCCACGTGAATATGTGGCTCTGGCTCCACTTTCAACACAGCACCAACACAGCATCAAGATCCCTCCCTTTCTGCTTGGGGTTGCGGCGAGAGAACCGAAACTCGTGAATCTCGTGTGAGCAAATTTCTGCATCACCGAACAATTTGCATCGCTGCTTGCCGATGCTTTCTCAAGCAGCAGCAGTCGAAAGTCAGGAGCTGTCCAGAGATTCGCTCTTGCCAATCTTGCCGTGACTACGACTTCACGGCGTGCAAGGGTTCTAGGGCACTCCAGAAATAATATCGCTTGAAAGTTGAAAATGTCACCGCGAGCCTGTATGAAGGCTGTGGCGCAAGCGAATTCTGAAAGGAGATCTCTGTTCAGAGGGGTGACACTGACAGCAACTCATACGCGCCTTGTTGGGATCTTCTTCTTCTCGCGCGCCGCGAGCTTCTTCTCCCTGCGCTCCTGCACACTGTCGACCATATGACATGTTTGCAATTTTCCTTGGCAGGCGACTGCAAGGGGGTGTGACGTTGCAGATGATTGCCATCCGTGGTGATTAAACTGCTTTTCTACTGACCTGCTATCATGTCAGGCATTGCAGGTGAACCTCCAACTTGTGCCTGCCAGTCTTCCCCTTCTCCTGCAAATGAGACTCTGGTCAACATGGCTTTTTGGCTCCAGACTCCCATGTCTGACGTTCTCAGAGTGGGTGTAGCAACTATCTGGTAACTAGCTGTTCGAAACTAGCGCTCTGTAACTCCGGCACAGCTTCACTAGACTTACTAGTGGCAAGTCACAGCTCAGTTCGGACCCAAGGGGCGAAGGTGACACAAGGTCAAGGCAAGCACAGCTGACCCGGCATAGGCCCGATGTGTACGCCGTATCCCGCACAGCCAAAGCAGTGAGAATGTCACCCCTCGGACCGATGTGCCCACGCCCACTGTAGATGCACGTTGTTCTTCGATGACACTTCTCGGCTCAGCGGCTATCGCTGTTCCCATCGCTTCGCCCTCGGTTCAGCTACAATGGACCAGAATGCACCTGTTACATTTCACACGAAACGCGGCCGGGCTTTGAAAGACTCACATCACCTGTAGCCAGATAGCGACATCAGGACAACACAGGCACAGTTTACACCCACATCAATCCAGGCGCGCATGCTGTATCAAGCCCCATGCAGACGCAGAACCAGTCAAGACGGAGACGGTGCACTTCGACTGTCACAGTCGCAACAGGACCGTTCTCAATGCACGGAACCGGCACGCACCGATAGTAGGCTGTCATCGAGTCACGGCCAACTCTCTGAAAACACAACACTTGCTGCGAGTCGTTGTCTGCAGAAGGCACAGCCTTGAAAGGTCATACCATTAAGCACGCTTCGGAAGCCTCGCCATGTCAGTCAAACCTTCAGAAAGGTCAAACTGGGCTGCTCGCTCATCCGAGTTTCCATGGCGGGCGCAACTGCTGCCCGCTGAAACCCCCAAGGAACAAGGAGTTAGGACACTCAGGCAACACAACCCCTAACTCGCCCGAACTAAATAAAATACATCACCGGAGTGACCTCAGCAAGGGCTCAAGAGGAGGACGCCTAGCAAAGAGCACGACTGAGGCAGCGACCAGGAGGACCAGCAAGAATGTGTGAAGCAAGACCGTAAAGGTTCACAGCAAGCACTCAGCACAGTGCAGGCCGCGAAAAAGGTTTGTTTTACAGGCCTTACAGAGAGCGAGCAGGGTCCAGTTACTGTAAAGAGTTGAGTCCGCTGTGCTCTGCCTCTGCTCTGTGTGCATGGCTATTTCAGCTTCTTGGCCGGGGTCGCCTCCTTCTTCTTTTTCTCCACCAGCAGCTGTCTCGCTGCCTTCTTCCGGTGAAAATACGGTACCTCACATCAAAACTGCTATCAGACACCTTTGTAGGTGCTCTGACGTCGCATGGAATGCCGCTTCAAGTTTAGGAGTCTGATCCTGCAGTTAACGACGATTATGATTAGGCCCTAATTAGGGTCTGAATCCGTGCCTTGCCAGTTTCCTTCACCTTCTGCCTCTCCTCGGCCTTCAGCACCCTCTCGGCATCCTGAAGCCGACCGATGTGTCTCCTGCGGCATCTAAAGCACTTTGGGATTGGCGGAAGCCAAAGCGCAGAGCTGGTCCCTGCAGCCCTTGCAGCTTCATCAACATTTCCCCGCATTTAGGACCAGTGGCAGGCAGGAACTCTGACACTGGCCTCTGCTTGTCCTGCTGCACTCGGCGCTTAATCCTCAGTGCCCCAACATAGGCTTCCAATCAACTCCTTGAGCTACCAGACCAACGAGTCATGCATGCAAGAAGCTCTTTTGTAATCTCGTCCTCCTGCGCCGCTATCATCGAATCCTGCTTTTGATACTTGCTGGTTTGTTTCTGGCACTTCACGTCGCAGGATTTAAGGGATTTGTGCCTTCTCCAGTTCAGACACTTACACCGCCTGCACAGCCGTAGAAATGCAGTATTACAATATTGGCATTGGCGGAAGCATGCGGAAGTGCAGCTACAGAATTGCTTGGCAGTGAGATGCGCAAGGGCTCGCATGGTACAAGGCTTGTGTAATCGCTGGTGTGTGTGGCTCCGAACCAGCAGAGCCGCATTCTTGTGCATTGCAGCTGCGCGGTTGTGTCGAGACAGCACTGCGGACGGGCCCTCGGTCTTGATAGAAGTTCCCAGCACTGCTGCCTCCTGAGCAGGTGTGCCGGTGCCTGTATGGGTCTTGGTGCGGCCTAGAGTTGCCGAGGTCAGCCTGTCCTATACCGTCCTCCAAAACACGGGGAGGCACCCGGCCTTTGGACGCTTCTTGCGCAACTGTTGCAACCGTTGCTTCGCTTCCATCAGCTTTTCGAACTCTTCTGCCCGGTACCTCAGGCCGCGACACGATTGCACACTCATCGAATGGGTCGCGATGCGCAGCAATGGTCTGAGGAGACACAACAGGCTGGATGCCTGAATGTTGCACGACGGTAATACGCAACAATAACATGGATAATTGCAGCCAGTGCTCTCTTCCAGAAAAGAATACGCCTTCCTGAGCTGGACATAACTGGACTTGCCATGATGAAGATCTGGAGCGCCGATTAAACATGCACCATGGCTAGCAAAGCACGTTCGTCTTCTAAGGCAACCTTCCATCTGTTGGGTGATCTTGACGCCTCAAGCCTCCCACTGCTGGTTCACGGTCAAGCTTCCCAAATCCATCGGAACTGAAAGTGCCACTGGAATCCTCGAAGCCTAAGCAGGAAAACGCAGAAGCACGGGGCTCTCTTCTCAGACCCCTCTCCTTGCACGAAAATGCGTGTCCATCTGAGCCGGGACACGAGGGTCACGCGGACGCATGGACGCCAGCTTCAGGGGCATGGTCAGTTTTTGTGGGTCCACGAGTCACCAGGCCTATCCCTCGGGGAAGGTCCGAGGTTTGAGTCCAGGACCGGTTGAGTTATGGGACGCTAGGCTCTGTAGCTGCCCCATAGAGGCGCAAACGAATCTCGTAAAATAAAGGCTCCTTGGCTCGTGACTAGTAACAAGACCGCCTTCTGTCTCGCTGTCTTGGCTCCTTCCTGCCCTGCACGCAGTGATTCAATGCCAAGGGGGCACACAATCGAGCCTTGCTGCAGTTCACTTCGGACTTTGCTGCGGAGTTTGCCAGTATTGCTCGGGCCTGGCTCCCGCCTTTAGCTCGTAGACCCGCAGACCCGTCTTTGGTCCCAGTCTTTCTTGCTTGCGCAGGCTAAAGGCCGGTGCATGGCCTGTTCTTCTCTCTGTCTCTTGCCATCCCTAGAACTTTACTGCTGCTTATGTCCAGTCACATACCTCCGCAGGCAGGGTCTGCAGAAGCCGAAGGCTGAACATACAGATGGGAAAGAGAAAGTATGAGCAGAACGGAGTGCCGTGGGACTAGAACCTGACCAGCCCGTACCGGCAGATGCTGCAATAAGCATCTGAACCCGAAGTGATCAGCAATCCAAAAGTACTCGTCCATTCTAGGTTCTTTTGCATATTCCACAGAGAGGCGCAAAGAGCGACTGGCCTTTGCACCACTCCGTGCCGCGGCCGCACGAGGAGGTGGTGTCGCCCGTTGTGAGGAAACCTGGCCATTGCCTACCTCCCAGCCGTCACGGACAGTGTGACTCGGACTCGCTTTAAACCGTCTGTTTGTCAAGGATCTGTCCACCTTCCGGAGTCTTGCCTCGGCTTAATTACTCCTTGCTAGACGATGTGCTTGTTGTGAAAACTGCCAACTGCTGGCCGTTCAAGATTGGGACTTGCTACTCAGCTACTCGCTTTCGCGATGGGTTTTTTATCACTTGTTGCAGAGCAGGCTCACCAGTGTCGCTTGTCGCGTGAAGCATCACTCTGGGAGGCACAGCAGATTTGTCGTGGCACTGGCCTACAAGTGGCATCAACTGGAGCTAGAAACAACCATATAGCAAATTCTACCCGGACTTACTAGTACTTCAACAACCTTCGATCGCAAGACGCCTCCATCGGCGCTCCCTTCCTCAGGAGACAGACGCAGGATCGCAGCCATACTTGGAAGTAGATGGAAACTCACAGCAAACTCGTCGACGCAGCTGCCCGGATCGGCATGGACTTCATTTTCGCGCGCCGCGTAGCGACGTGAGACACAACAGATAAAAAGTGGCTGGATCTGATCTCCAAGGCATTCAGGAAGGATCCATGAGAATTGGTTTTTGTGGGATGGTAGCACTCCGAAGGGTGAACGACCTCAATTTGGAGTTGCACTGGGATTGGATCGCATGTGCTGGTGTGTCGCTCCCTCCCAGTGCTAACCTGCGACGGCAGGTAGAGCTTGCCCGACGCAAGAGCACGAACAGTACTGTCAGACATCCCCTCACCAAGCCTTGCACGGGCAAATGTTTCACAATCACTCCGCTCGGAATAGCATCTGGCAAATCAGGAGGATCTCTAACCTGCGGTCTGTGCTGCATTCAGCACGAGGACAAACGAAATCCTAGGTGTGCGAAGAGGAAGGCAGAAAATTGTACCTCTGCAGACTTTCCATGTGCCAAAAGATGAAGGCAGAACTGAGCAAATGGGAAGAAAGACCCCTTGAGGCACATGAAATGGCTTGCAACTAGCACCACTGCAGGAGCAACTACGTGCTGATGTTTGGCTCCTGGCACACATTCAGATGATCTGCTAAATCTGCCAAGTGTGTTCAAGGGATGTTTTGACAGGCACAATGCCTGTCCTAGCCGCACCACACCAGCACAACTTGCAAATTCTTGATAGTCATTCAGCTACAGGCACAGTGATGGCTCCCCACTCCTGAAAAGCCCAGCTCTCTGAGCCTGCAGCCCAGCCCATCTCCAATTTGCCGACATAATCCACAGCTCCAGACAAATGGAGGAAGACATCTGACTCAGAAATCCAAAGTCAGTTTGGCGAGACGGTCAAACTGCGGATATGCCCGTCGCAATCTGGACACCGGGCTGCGAACCAGAGCCTTTGTCCCTGGTGCCAGCGCCATTACAAAGGCGCACAGGCGTGAAAAAAAAATTGCCATGCCATGCCTCAATGCATCTTGTCAAAAACTGAGGTGGCCTCGCCAATGATTTTAATTTCAAGCTCGGTCCCGTGCAGGGGGCCAAACTAGGAGAAACTTGTCTGGGCCGCTGTGTGCCCAGCTTGCTCGGACGGTAGGTCCAATCAAAATCATCTCATGTCGGAGTCACGGCCTTGTAACCTCCTGCAAGCCACCGTGTTCTGGTTCAGGCCTCTCGCGTGGAAGCAAAGCTACAGCCCTGCTTTGAGCTCCCAGCCACTAGGTCACCAGCCGCCTCACATCAGCAGGGCGGCCGGAGTCGCGGCCACCAAACGCTGCCACAGTGCACTGCGCAGGGAGCAGAGGCGTGGCTTTTGACACGTTCTTGAAACTCAGGCTCGAAAGATCTGGGCTGGCCCCCGATTGCACTCATAGGTTGCCTTTAATTAAGTAGCAATCGGGTTCAGGGACAAAGTCTCAACGGTCCGGGCAACACAGTTTGATCACGATATGTGACTGAAAAATCTGCCATGAGACCAGCCTGAAAGCCGTCGATGCAGACACGTCCTGATGGTGCCTTGGATGGGTGCACAACATGCACAAAAGAACAGAGGGCGTCAGATGCCAACTGCAACACTGAACTCAGCAATGCATTTATCAAGAGAACAGTTTGGCCGCATCTTCTAATTTGCTGCTCCAGCACACACCGTGCTTCTTGCAAACATCGCGGGTGATGTGGCGGATGGTGTCATAGCAATGATGACCTGACCCATGATTAGCTCCCCACGACGGTGAACCTGGAACAGCCTTCTTTAAAGCACCTCAAAGCAAAACCGACTGCATGTGGTGTGCATCTTTGTCTCTTTGTCTGTCTGTCTGTCCGTCCGTCCTTCCGTCCGTCCGTCCGTGCGTTTTTGTGTGTTTGCGCGTGAGAGAGTGTGTGTGTGTGTGTGTGTGTGCGTGCGTGCGTGCGTGCGTGCGTGCGTGTGTGCGTGTGTGTGAGTGTGTGAGTGTGCGTGCGTGCGTGCGT